CGCGCTACCCAGGCAGTGGAGCCAGCCCAGCAGTATGATATGTTCAACATCTACATCAAGCGGGCTGCTGAGATCTATGGCGTCACCCACACTCGGGGCATCTACCAGAAGGCCATTAAGGTGCTGTCCGATGAGCACGCCCGTGAGATGTACCTGCGGTTTGCAGACATGGAGTGCAAGCTTGGTGAAATCGACCGAGCCCGAGCTATCTACAGCTTCTGCTCCCGGATCTGTGATCCCAGGACCACTGGGGCATTCTGGCAAACATGGAAGGACTTTGAGGTTCGGCACGGCAATGAGGACACCATCAGGGAGATGCAGAGGATACGTCGGAGTGTGCAGGCCAAATACAATACTCAGGTCAACTTCATGGCTTCGCAGATGCTCAAGGTGTCAGGCAGTGCCACAGGCACCGTGTCTGACCTGGCTCCTGGGCAGAGCGGCATGGATGACATGAAGTTGCTGGAGCAGCGGGCAGAGCAGCTCGCAGCTGAGGCTGAGCGGGACCAGCCTCCAAGGGCCCAGAGCAAGATCTTCTTTGTGAGGAGCAATGCATCCAGGGAGGAGCTGGCAGAGCTAGCTCAGCAGGCCAACCCCGAGGAGATCCAGCTGGGCGAGGATGAGGATGAGATGGACCTGGAGCCCAATGAAGTCCGACTGGAGCAGCAGAGCGTGCCAGCTGCTGTGTTCGGGAGCCTAAAGGAAGACTGACATCCTCCACGCTTTTTCCTCCGTGGTCCCTCCCCCTAACCACCTTGTAATACAGCCCCTCTTTGAAAATAAAGATTTAAAAAAAAAAAAAGAAAGAAAAAAAAAAAAGAAAGGGCCTGGCACATACCTGACTGATTATTCATTGAGTTATGCACAAGAATGAAAGTAGTGGATGGATGGATGGATGGCATATTCAGCCCACAGAAGGTCAGCTCATTTCTTCTGTTAACCTCAAAATTAAAGCTGTCACTCTCAGATTTTAGGAAGGTTACAAACTTCATGTCTGTTCTCAGGACTCCCCGAACATGACTTGGAGATCTTCATCACCTTCCCAACGACCCCCATAACCCACCAACCCCCACCCCACACCCTCATCATACCCCACCCCCACCTTCCGAGCTGGAAGAAGGTATTGTGAGATGCTTCTCAACTCGGAATATTCAATAAAAATCCAAAGGTGGCTTGCTGTGCTCCGTGTTGTCTCTGAATTCTCTAATCTCTCCGTGCCCCGTTACTGTTGCAGGACAAAGAGGTTTGGCATGGTAGCCGGGCACTCAGCACCCCTCTCAAATCAGCATGAAGGCTGATGCCACTAATTTGGAAAGTGTTTTTTTATCTCCTGGGACATTCTACTTCTTCACCTTCTTGATAGGTGGGTTTCAAAACAGAAAAGTGAAAATTAAAAAAAAAAAAAAAAAAATCTCCTGCCAGGTCTCAAAGGAGGTCAGAGAGTGAGAGGTTAAACACACCAACCAAATAGACGGGCATTCTTTCCTCCTCACTGACAACGTACGTGCTGAAAAGAATCGATGATTTTCCTACATTCTATCCTCTTGCCCCCGCCCCAATAAGCAAATTGTACTGAGAGTCGCTAATTGCACCCTGAATCTCTCATACAGTGAAATAATAATTATGCATTAGTGAACGGCTTCAAGCAGAAGCCCATTTTTTATTTAGCAGAAAACAGCTCCCTTCTATTTATTAAGAAACTACTGTATCATTTATTTCTCACATAGCTACCATATGCTAGACACTCTGTTATTTTCTTTAACATATGTGATCTCCCTTAATGTATTTCCTGGGTGCATCTATTCATTCACTTCACAACTGGAAACAGGAGAAAAAAAGCTTAAAGGGATTATCCTCTTGACTTGCCTGGTCCTCAGCAATGGGGACAAAGATGTTTCAGTGTAATTGGCTTTGATTTTCTACAGACGGAGCATTGTTATTTAAATATAATTTCCTTTATGCTGTAGTTCCTGGTTTTAAACAGATGATTTTATGGCTGAGCTAAATTTAGATGCCTAACAGCAGTCATTTACAGTCTCTCGTTGCACTCTGCATAAGACTGAAAGTCACTGGCCACCTTCCAACTTTGTGAAAGATGAGATGTATAAACATTTGGGTGACACCACTGAATAACTCTGAATGCAACCACGTGAGTCTGCTATGCCAATATTTCTAAACAAAACCACTACCATGTGCAAATCTGGGGCTTAAGGGGGAATAAAGACGACGGCTCACAAGCATCACTCGTTTCATTTCAGGATATTTCATCACCCTCTCTCAAGTGCACGCACTCTAAACCACATACTTATTAGCTGTCAGTCTCTATGCCTCTCAACTCCTTACTCCGAAGTTCTAAACAACCACAATCTACTTTCTGTCTATGCAGTTTTGTCTGGTGAGTACATTTCATGTAAATGCCATCAATGCTCATTCATGCAATATGATAGCAGTGTTTTTTAATACCTAAAAATCAAATACATTCTTCACGAGGAAATGAATCAGGTAAATCGAAGATAAACATGTAATTTAGTTATATTCCCAGATATCTTATTTTGATTGTGTCAAGGTAGGAATATTTTATTTGCACATTTTGATAGACAGCTATATAATTTAAATTTGAAAATGATAATTAAAGTGAAAATGAAAATAAATAGGATCTATTTTATACCTTAAATTTGGTCACTTATTTCTCTATTTCTGCAAATTCATAGGGATCATGGGAAGTTCATAGATTTAATACAGTCACAAAGAAAAATCTGATGTGTCTGGAGAAATGCTCACTGGAAAGTTCATGAAGGTACTGTGTTTTCATTCATCCGATACAGAGACCTGAAATTTTGTTTTAATGCAAAAACATTCAGTTGCCTTCTACATAAAGCAAGGTCGTGGCTTTTGTGCTGCGGTTGAGGACATGAAAATTGCAGACCAATGGTCAGAAGGCTCGGGCAGCAGACAGTGATTTTCCTCTGGATCTTGAACTCCTCGCAACTTTTCACATGTCCCTCCAAGTGCTCTGCTTTATCAGCCTTGACTTCCCATTGCTTTCTCTCCCTATCCTTCAATTGCTCTCTTACTATCCAATGTATCTTGTATGGAGAAAGATAACGCTAGCAACTGGTCATGGAATGTCTCACTTTTTCTAGAAGCCTTGAGTGACAATGACATCCTTGTGGACATTGCTGGGCTATGCAATATGTACCTCAGTCAGCTTGAGTTGCTATAGGAAAGTATCATAAATTGAGCAGCTGGTAGGAAAAATGATTTCTCATAGTTCTGGAGGGTGGAAATCCAAGGAGGTACCATCAGGGCCAAGTTGTGGTGGGGGCCACTTTCTGGTTTGCTAACCATTGTTTTCTCATGCATCTTCACTCTGAGGAAGGAAAGCTAGCCTCTCTATCCTAATTACTAAGGGCTCCACCTTCATGACCTAATCACCTCCAGAAAGCCTCGGTTAAGATATTATCATATTAATAATTAGATTTCAGCACATAAATTCTACCAGTCTACTTTCAAATTTCAGATAAGCCTGTATATTAAATGTGTCACGCTGGACAAAGAAATCGTCCCAGCCACAATATCTCCTTGTATATACAGCAAAGGCAATGATACTGCCTACTGCATTCGGCTGCTGTAGGAGTAGATGATGTGAAGAATTGTGCCAGACACATACCAAATTTTCAGTAAACAGCAGTGGCCATCATCATTTTCACCATCATCATCATAGGGCTGGTAGCTGGTAAGTCTTAAATTATCATTCCACTCAACCGGGCAGCGGTGGCGCATGCCTTTAATGCCAGCACTTGGGAGGCAGAGCCAGGCAGATCTCTGTGAGTTCGAGGCTAGCCTGGTCTACAAAGTGAGTCCAGGAAAGGCACAAAGCTACACAGAGAAACCCTGTCTCGAGGAAAAAAAAAATTATCATTCCACTCAGTGCAAAGCAATTATTCCCTGGAGTCAATTGATTAAAATAAATAACAGCCAATTTGCCAGTCATCTGTGAGATTCTCCTACTACAACATGTGTGTGCACACGCACGCACACACATGCATATACACACACTTCAATTTTGGTATTTTAGAGGAATAAACAATGGGAAGGAACCTTTCTTCCCTTCTACCCAGCATTTTCTATCTCTGAAAACTGCTGCCAGCACGAATAGTCATTCAAACAGCAAGGATGGTTCTTGCCGTTCTGGGCAAACCTCGCCTCTACTGGGCATTATTGGCCAGCTGATGAGGTAGCTCTGGAAACAGGTCAGTGTGGGAATTTGGCATTTACATTTGAGACTGGCAATGATTCTTGTTCTCTCTCTCTCTCTCTCTCTCTCTCTCTCTCTCTCTCTCTCTCTCT